ATGGTTATGTGGGTTTGCCCTTGGCTGAAGGGAAAACACATGTTATCTTATCTATTGATGGCTCAGGATGCTAACGCAATCAGAAATGACAATCGTATTGAACAGAAGCGGACTTTAAAATGCTCGGCAGGCTCCAGCTGTGCCAGAAGACGTGGTTCAGGACAGATTTCATTAAGTCTTGCTATTTCATTTCCAACGACACTACAACGGATGATAGTTCGGTTTATAACGCCGAAAGCGTTTCAAGAACAATCCGTGAGCTCTGTTTGGCAGCCACGTGGGTCGGAATGCCAGGTGAAGAGCCTGGTGTCAGTCAAATCGCTCGTCAAAACAGGTTTACCTGCGAACGCAAATCGTTATCATTTCGAATGCATCCTGCGCCTTTTGCGTGTTCCCGAAATTCGCCACTGTCCGATATTAGATATGCGCAAAAGAGCGTCGTAATGTCACACCCTCATCGTAGCGTACACCCTGAAGTCGTGCATATCTGTATGAAAATATCTGTTTTCCACCCTACTCCCTGATACTGTCTTTTTTCATACTTAGAACGCCGCGGAAATATCATCATCGATGTGGTAACTTGTGTGGTAACGATGTGGTGGAAGTATCGCACGTCAAGCGATAGCAAGACAAATACTCCACTCCGAAGATCATGCACGATAAATTCGCAGTGGTGAAGATCAAGTGGCTCTTGTCACACGGATCGTACGGGGAAAACCCGTTTCCGGATGAAGGTCAGTATGGAGACGACATGAGGGATGCAGACTGATGGGATAGAGTTCCTATGCTAGAACATCGTACACGACAAATATCACAAGGACGAATTTATGACTGGACACGGACCCCGTAAGATAAAGGTCACATGACAACTTTCGTTCCTGGGTGGACATCGCAGCGTCGCACAACGTGTAGCCAGCGCCTGACCGACAAGCGACGGCGCCTCCGCATCCAGGAACAGGGGGACGAAACTGAACGGTCGGTGGCGAACGGCCGGAACGAAACCGAACGGTCGGAACTGAACGATTGCCCAGTTAGAGGTCGGCGCCGGCTGGAAATGCAACTGACGCCCAACATTTGACGTTTTGCTTGGCGCCTCCACTTTGGAGATGCACACCCAGTAGGGAAACCGTGTCACTGTAAGAATTTCAGGTATCAGATTTGGTTCACTGAGTCGGAGTTGAAATGGCAGGAAGGGAAGAGGAAGCCCGTGAGCATCCACACCTGATGCTGTTTCTGTCTTTTCTGAAGACATGCAGCCACGCTGGCTTCACTTAATTACCTTAATTGTGGAGCTGCATCACTTCTCTGCGATGGGTTCTTTAAATCTCGGCGACCTGGTGCGATACTATCGCACACCATATAAGTACGACATTTCGCACACCACCCATCTTACCCTCAACGATTTTTAGCTTGCAGCTTTCTTTATCTCTTTGACCTTTTGCTATCATCTTCATCCTTGACACCCTTATCCGATGAAATTTTATAGTATTTGTCTAAGAACTTTTTCAGACGTTTTACGATGTAACATTCGCACCAAATGACTATTGCCTGACGATCCTGATTCCGTATGAGCCTTTACTTATCAACTCTTAATGCTGTTTCCTTCCTCATGGTCTTTGGCCATACTATTTATCCACATGTAATCTTTCCATAAGACCTTTCTGACGACATTTCTTTTTCCATCACCCTTAAGATCACTTCTAACCAGCAATCTGTCGACATGTCAATCTGGGGTGCCGACAGTGCAGCGGTTAGACCGTAAGTCTGGGAAGCCGGAGGTACGAGATGTAATCTTTCGACACCATCGACTAGCAAAAAAGAAATCCAAACCCATACTAATCTCCGAATCATGCTTCCAGAAAGTTTCTTCATTCCAATTGCCTGGTGCCGCCTCCGCGCGGGCAGTTTTGCTGTCTGTATGTGCGTCTTACCTGCATTTTCTTCATGATTGGACGTTTCAAAAATCTTTGCAATCAAGATCAGTCAGTCCCGGTGGCTCAGTTGATTAGAGCGCCTGCCCTCCGATCCACCCACGCGTGGTAGGGTGGGTTCGAGTCGCTTTAGGGCACTCGCTATTTGACCTTGACAGATATGGCCTGCGGCCGGTGGCAGCGGTCGCCCTAAAGGTCAGTTGACGTCAGAGGGCAAGACGGACCGTGCCGAGCAGTGCGGCCACGTTAAGCTTTCGCCACCAGATTCTGCCGTTGCCTGGAATTGCGCGATCGGATGGTGAGGTCAGGGCTCACACAACAAGCACTGCTTAGCGTGGGGGCTGATCCCAGAAAGTCATCCATTCAAAAGGTTCGGATCAAATTAATAAAAAAGATAACATTGTTTTCATAGGTCGTTCAGCCTCACTTACGGGGACAGCTGGCTATCTAAACTTCCGTCCATCGCATTATGCCCTTGGATCAGACCTTGAGGGTTCATAGACGTCACACATCGTCTAAATAAGATGGCCTCTTGTGCGATAGACCATATTATGGTTCACTTCGGACAAGCATTAACACGCGCTCGGTGAGGCCGGTTTAGTGTGGCGCGTTCGGAGCGGGGGGGGGGGGGGGGGGGATTTCATCCCACTGATATCTCAGTAACTATGAGAGCTGATACAGAAAGCTCACAGGGTAAAGTGAGATTATTCATGAACTCGCTTGCGGGTGAACTTGAAATCCCTAGGTCGTAAAATTCTGGTCAATAAGGTCACGCAAGGTGAAAACGCAACACCGTTGTCCTGGGTGCCCCCAGGCCTTCTTACGCAACGAGCCCTAGCCAACACACCCCATATCAGTGAGATGTCGCTGATGTTCATATCAGATCAGTGACTTTATTTGACCTTGAAAAATGACCAGGAGCCTTCCGGACCATTTTCGTATTTGAAGTCGTGATCGGCGCCGGAGTGCTACTCTAGGCAGCATGCTTTTCAAAGTAAGAAGTTTGATCGAATTCGTTTTAGACCAATGCCCACCACTTCATGAAGCCTACATAGGACATTTTTATGTTGTTGTGCCCGATGAATTGTAATAGCGTAAAAAGGGGCTCATAAAGCAAGTTTTCCAGCAACAAGGGGGTTACATTTTTACTTTGCTCTAACGTCCAAACTTAAACCAAGATAAGTGGAGTTGGTCGTAAACCCAGGTGCAGTAGTCTAATTGCTTAAGAAAACCTCTCGAAGTTCTATGAGCTCTTCAAACACTACGCTGTCGCTCCGCGTTGAACAAATCTCTCGGAATTGTCTTTACTGACAGCCATGTCCTGACTTTTACCTGCTGTAGGCCGGAGATCTTGCAAAATATGTCTAATTATCTATGTCAAAAGAAACATTCACTTACCTACAACGATGGAAGTCATTCTGGAAAAAATTTCTGGGGTCGTATTACCTTCCCCACTGAGCGCGTGTTAATTGCATATGGCCAGTGCATATGGCCGTATGGGCAGTGCATTCACCTTAAAATCAAACGTGAAGCGCAACATCTGGCCTAACAGTTATCAGTTCAACACGACTTGCCACGGAGGTCGTATGGGCTGCAAAATATTTAATTCTGCTTGCTTATTGTAGGGGCAATAGCCAGAGCACTTGTGGCTTATTGTGGCGACCATCTGAAAACGAGCAGAAAATCAACACACTTGTTGAACCCACACTTTAGCACGTTATGCTCGAGATCTTTGCCGCATTGGTATGCGGACATCGAAAGCCGCAAATCAATAAATGTCATCCTACAAAACCAAACGCAAGTCACAGGAACCAAATATCCACTGCTTGCCGCATTTTGGCTCCACAAAAATACCTACCAAGCCTTTTGCTGTCGAGCAAAATATACCTTTCCATGCATGGCAAAGTGAGCGTGCCAGCTTCATTTTATTCATGCAACCATCAACGTTTCGCCTGTGATTTTTGACGTCCCTGTACCCTAATGCACTAGGAGTCGCGCCTTGGCCCGCGTGCCGTTCCCTTCTCCCGCGTGGCTCTCGGTCGCCCGCTCCCACGACGGCCAGGTCCGGAGCCGGTGAAACGGCCGGCCGGGGCCGCTATAAAGGCGACGCCGGACCGCGCCGGAGCAGTCGCCGAGCAACGCCGCACGATGAGCCCTGCACGAGCCGTGAGTTCCGGCCGCCGGCCGCCGGCTCCGGCCCACTCGGTGCTGCTCAGTGCCCGGCCGTCGCGACGAGCTCGCCCGGGCGGCGGGCCTGTGGGACCCCGCAGACTGGCTGGCGAGGCGCCACTGGGCAGCAGCCGACTCCGCCCGCTAAAGCGGACTCCGCGCCTTGTGTCGGCCCAGCTGGTAGCCGGACTCCACGCGTTGTGTCGATCCCAGCTGGTCTCATTCGGCTAGTTCGCTGGCCGCGGCTCTGGTCGTCCCCAGGTCTTTGTACCGGCGTGAAGCCCGTAGCCTCTGTGGTGGTGTGCGGCCCCCGTGCCGGCGTGAGGCCATAGGCTGCGTGTAGGTGCGAGGCCCGTGGCCTCCGCGCCTGTGTGAAGTCCGTGGACTCTGCCGGTGTGAGGCCCGTGGAGTCCGTCCGGTGTGAACCCTCCGTGCCTATGTGAGGTCCGTAGGATTCGTGGCGGTGTGAGGCCCGTGGCCTCTGTGCCAGTGTGACCCGTGGCCTCTGTGCCAGTGTGAGGCCCGTGGCTTCTCTGCCGGTGTGAGGCCCGTGGGCTCTGTGGCGGCGTGAGGCCCGTGGCCGCTGCGCCGGCGTGAGGCCCATGGCCTCTCTGCTAGTGTGAGGTCCGTGGCCTCTGTGCTGGTGTGAGGCCCGTGGCTTCTGTGCTGGTGTGAGGTCCGAAAGCTCGGTGGCGGCCGTGAGCATAGTTTTGTGACGCCGTTGCTCTGTCCTCCCGCAGCTGATGGTTCCGGCCCTGGCCGTGGCCTGCCTGCTGGCGGCGGCCGACGCCTTCCCGCAAGGGTATGAGCCAGAGCCGGTCTACGGCTACCAGCCGGAGCAGCCGTACGGCCGCGACAAGTTTGTGGTGGCGGAAATCCAGCCCCGACAAGGCTACGGCAAACCCCTCCTACGGACGCGTCAAAATACAGGTGCGTGCTGATGTGTGGCATGGTGGGGCATGTCACGCCACAGGTAAGGCATGCCATGCCACACATGCTGTGAAATTTCACAGATTAAGTTAAAATTGAGGTGTTACGTTAGGCATGTGCATCCGAATAAACGCCGATGCCTGAAGTCCCTGCTGTTATATGCACGTTAGTTTCATCAAAACGCTGACCACGGAAGTGCTTGATCCACGCTACGGTGTGCGGCATGTTTTCCTTTGCGCCGACTAACTGCTATTTTCACCCACATAATGCATAGGGGAGTGCAGCCGTGAGCACAGACTAGGCTACTGACAGACTCACAGACAGAAAGACTCACAGACTAGACTAGGCTCACAGACAGACAGACGAGCTCCACTGGAAGAGAGCCGCGCAAGTGAAATGCAATGCTGGAGGTGTCACCAATTGGAATTGATATAGTTCGGTAATTCTTATACGTTAATGGACCAATAATGGAACGATTTCAACACACATATCGCACACACACCGTGTTTTTTTTCTCCAATTACGGCAGGTTCTTATTCAATTCACCCAGCAAACATTCCATGGATTGCTCGAATTGCTCTGTGCTGTAAGTAGTTGGTTCGTGCCGTATCTACGTGCTGCTTGTGTGCTTGCCATTTGCACACACCCATGTCGGATGAAGAGACCTCACTTCACGCGGTAGGGGTAGCCAATTCTGTTTTGTGCCTCGCATGAAGACGACTGTCAAAAGCTACTGATCCCGCCGTCGCACCTCCCCGGCGCGCCCTTCTGCCGCGCCAGCCGGTGTGCGGTCTCTGAAGCTCTCCCCCTGCTGCAGACGTACCGCGGGCCCAGCAAGGGTCACGGCTACGACGTGTTCGCGCCCTGGGGCTATTACGTCACGCAGCCCGAGGATGATAAGGGCTACGGTTACCACTGAGCCGCGGACGTCATGACGTCAGAGCAGGATAAGGTAAGCATCTGCCCATCGCTGTCAGCAGGTTGTCATAGTCAGCCGGATGTCGAATGATCCTAACTCGCACGTTAGCTAAGTCGTTAGTGTTAATGAACGATTCGTTTTCTTCCTTAAAGGTTGATATCAGCGTTCACGCCACTGATCCGCTTGTGTGAGTGATAGGCATTTATGACCTCCAGCTGTTCTGCATGTCTGTGTCCGTGGAAGTGCCTGGTCTTTATCCAGAGCTTGCTCTGACATTTAGCAATGATAAATGCTGGGACTCCGTATGAGCTAAAATATGAATCTTCTGTATAAGCTAACTCGAAAGCACGAACTCGAACCTCTGTGTCACAGGTCACATGACGAGCAGAAATTGTCCACAAAAAACTTCCGAGGAGCTGAAATAGGGCCCTGGTGGAGCTGGAGGTTTAATGGTGGGGTCAGGGCCAAGGGTTAGGGTCAAGGGTCAGGGTCAAGGTCCGCGCTAGAAGTAATCGGCCGCACGGTCGTGGTGCAGCTAACGCCCTATCGATGTTCCAGATGATGTGCCCACTAGTCTTTTCATCAGCCGGGCTCTTCCGCGATCCGAAGTCACCCCCGGCCTCTAGGCCGACGTGACCTTGTGCGAACCTTGGGCGACCCCTGCTGACATCAGCTGGCAGCGCAGTGCCGCACTTCCCTTGCCGGTGCGCCACATGTTCATTGTTCTTGGCTGCATTGCGCATGCGTTCGCACTGAATAAACATCGCGTAGTTGGAAGCCCTGTTGCAAGACATCACGACCCTCATGACAGAGGAGTGAATAGCAAAGGCGATATGTACAGACCAGGGTCATACTGGAACTAAATTGTGCTCCAAGGTATGACATGCTGGGACTTGCTTGGTAATATACAACGTCAACGTGAACAAATCGAGGTGTGCCTCCACTTCCGTGTGGGCACAGGACACCTCGGTATGAAATATACAAAGCGAATTGTGCCCTCTGTGATACACCGTAAGCAGACTGTGGCTCTCGGCAACGTGTGGGAAAACTTCAACACGGCATAAGTTGGAGGAACAACACAACAGCATGAGGACTTAATCATGATCAACTTCAAGCAACTTCAAGTGGCTTCATGAAACTTCTGTCCCCGTAGAGAGCCTTGCCAGATCATTCCTCAAGACAAAAACACTGACTGGTCGTCGGCGACCAGCGCAGTTCCCACGCCCGAGCCAAATCGTGCAAGACTATGTCTCTAGCCATTACTCACCATCTCGGGGCACGCGCGGGGTCAAAGGTCACTCCTCCTAAACGCTTCAGGTACAGTAGGCGCAGCCTTTGCTATCCACAGACATCATCTGACCAGGCAGGTCACGGCTCGAGAAGAAAGGCATCACGCCCATCAAGACACTCAAATTTGTATGAAAAGGCCAAAAAAGAGAGCGGTTCTCAATATTGTTCGTTTTTTCTGATGAGAACCAGTAATTGAACAGTCCTGTTGGGTCTGCTGGCCTGGACAAGGCACAGTGCAAGACAAGGCGAGGCAGGACAAGGCCTGACAGGCAGCGCGACTTGAAGTAAGATCCATGTGATCCCTACAAATATGGTTGGAAATGCTATATTAAGTGACGCGATTTGCACTGTCCGTCAAGTAAGCGTCGCGTTCTTATTCGAATTCCAGTCCAGTTCAAACTTTCAACAGTCTTTTCCCTGGGTCCAACCCACTGAAGTATTCAGGAATCTCCACTCCTCTTTTCTCTAAGTCATTTGGTTTGACCCCTTCAGGTAAATGAAGGGTCAAAACGTGGGTACCCTGGCATTTCATCGCTTATCTAAGATATCCAATAAAATGCGTATCACTTTATCCCAGTGATGTCCTGTGTAAGCAACTTACAGTAGCTCACTCTCAAGGTTAAAGGTTGAGGTCACGTGAATTGGGATACCTTGATATTTCTTCGCTCATAAAGAGTGCAACAAAAAGGGTGTCATATTGATGTTCACGATGTCCTCTTTCGTCACATCTGCAAAAATTAATGTTCTTGGTCAAAGCTCAAGGCCATAAAAAACACCGTACCCTCACATTTATTTGTGAACCAAGGAAATACAACAAAATGAGTAGCATAAGGATGCTTGAGGTGCCACTTTCGTCACACTTGTAAAAGCTTCAACAAGTAAGAACTTGCAACAGTTTCAATGTCACAGGTCAGGGTTATACAAAACCCCGTACTCTGACATCCATTTGTTTACACGAAGGAACACAACAGAAATCATGGCGTATTGATACTCATGAATCAGCTTTCCCTAAGTTCCAAAAATTGGACTGTTAAGGTCATCCGTCAAGATCACAAAGATGCGATCCCCTGGCACTCATTCGTTTACCAAAGGATCACAGCAAAATGTGTATCATAGTAGTGCTGGTAATGTCCAAATTTGTTGTATTTCTCAAGGAGACAAATAACAAACAAATAAATGCCCGGACACTACGTTTTGTGACGTAGACTTTTGACCTTCAAAACATTTTTCCTGCGCGTGACGAAATTGGGCATCACAGACATCTCAATAGGTAAACATGTTGTTGCTATTTGTTTTTAAGTGAACATATATCAATTTATCGCGTTTTTGTGACCTTGGCCCTGAACTGATGATTACCTTTCATATATGACGAAAGCCAACACCACATGCATCAGTATTGCAGATTTTTGTGGTATTTTTTGGTTAAAGAATATATTCCAGTGCTGCTGTGTTTTGTGTGACCTTGACCTTTAACATAGAAAGATAGTTTTTGCATTTGTTGACAAGGCAGGCATTAAGTATTAATATGTACCCGTTGCATCGTATTTCTTGATGAAACGAATTAATGCCGAGTTGTCGCTTTTTGTGTGAGCTTGACATTTGATCTTGAGTTATTGTTCTTGTCATGAAAGTGGACGCCCCGAGCACCTCTATGAAAGTTATTTTGTGCCGTTATACAATGCCCTTGACTGTTGCCCTTTGTGTTATGAAGGCGGAAACCACGGTTGTCATCATGCCACCCATTTCATTTTATTTCTTCGGCTAGCGAACCATGTCAGGGTACCACATTTTTATTACCTTTAACTTTGACCTTGAGAGCTTTCGCAGATGCAAGGAAGGCAGGCGTGACAAACATCCCTTTGACATCTCTTTCGTCGCATTTCTGCGTGAAAATGGATGCCACTTTTATGTGACCTTGGCCCTTGACTTTAAGGCAAAGCTATGCAGGTGCGAAGAAGGAGGACTTCGCAAACACTGATATGACACCCTTTTTGCTGCAATTTCATCATGAGCGAAGAAGTGTAAGGGTTTCCTATTTTATATGATTTTGACCATTTATTTGCGACTGAGTTTCTGTAAGTGTGACGGGAATGGGCTTCACGGGAATCAGTATGATGACCGTTTTGTTGGATTTCTTTGATCAACGGAAGAATTCCAGAGTGCCCAGGCTTTTACCCTTTATTGACCTGAGGAGAAAAATACAGAAGAGAGACTGCAGATTCGTGAATACCTGAAAAGGTTTTACCTTGAAAGCAAGCTTTGGAAACGTTAACTCCACACTGAATTCGAGTACAATAACGACGCTGACATGACGGACATGCAATTTGTTGCTCTCAGGTAAAGGGTTAGGCCAGAGCAGGATTTCACTCAGAAGTGGCGCCAGGATTTAGATCATTTGGAAAACGCACATGTCGGAACAGTTATGCCGCTGGAGTTAACCTCTTGGACATGCCCGTTATTGTCTGCGTAACCGACCCGTTTTTTTCTGAATTTTACGCATTAATTTCGGGTCCCGTTACCCCCGCTACAACACTAATGTACTCATGCCATTTTCGGTTTCGCCTGCAGTTCTGACGCAATTTTCAAAGGCAAAACTTGAATGCGAGTTTGATATCCAAGGGCGCGAACTAATTAAAGTAACTGACAAAATGAAGAACAAGCACGGCAACGCACTCCCGGCGTGATTCGTCTCTGTCGGCTATTATGTTACATGAATGCTGGCTAGATATGCGAGAATAAAGTTTCTAGCAGTGGTTAAATCTCATTATTGTTCGTTTGCGTCCGTATGCACCCATCCAATCGTTTCAGTGAAATACCATCGTAATATTTCTTGACTAGGTAGCGCCACGTAAAATCTTTAGTGTTCATATCGCCCTGACGCATCCTTATCTCAGAGACTTTGTATAGAGAAAAAACCGAATTACGAATGTGGCTAAGTGTTTTCGTGCCCCCTTCGTATCTACATTAAGCTATTCTGAATGCGTCGCAACAGTCGCATTGAGTTCAGCGAGTTTTCCGAGCAAAGCTCACTGCTTGTGGGTGCCTCCAGTCCAGCACTCAGGTAATTTAATGGTCATTTAGTTTTCGACACTTTTTTCATCTGACATTTCTCTCATACAGAAAAGCAAATGGTCATGCTTTTTGCCGCACCGGTGTAAGGGAGGACCGGCTGTTGCCGAGCTGACCCCCTCTGTCATCTGTCAGCTGGCCGCCCTGCGGACCGCTGTCCCCGCGGCTCGGACCCCGGGTTAGGGCGAATACATCTTCGGTCCCACCCCTTCCCCGAAGTGACGGCCCTGTGCTCGACGCCCGCAGGACACGCGGCCGACAGGCATTCAAGGTCATTTGATCTCAACGTCTTTGAAACAGTTGCCCTGCATTGTACTAAATTTGAATTTTCAATTGAAGGTCAGTGAGAATATAGTCAAGGACAGTTACATGAAGCAAACATCGTTTTTCGAATTTCTCGATAATTTTGTTATATATGGTCGAGGCCATGTGGGAAATCCATTTCGTATGTGTAGTTCATGAACAGAAAGCACGGCCTGGGCGTAACACGTCTAAACAAGAAACAGCGATGACACTGCTCTCCGAAGTTTCATAACTAGCACACAACTTATGTACACATGCATGGAGGCGGATGGTAATGAACTTTGGTGCAATGACAGCGGTTCCGACATCCCGACAGCATACCGACAGCTTCCGAAAGCACAGATGCACACGCAACAATAAAGCCAAACAAGGTATGACGTTTCTTAAGCCGCCAACGCCTGCTCACTTACCTATTCTGTTCACCCTCACACAACATTCTCATACAATCGCAGAGCTATACTGCCGTCCAAAGGTTTATTTCTGGTCATACTACCCATATATTTATTTCTGGCCATTTTGCGTTTTTATGTCATCTGATTGGTCTTCTCCTGCTGAATTAAGATATGCAAACCAACAGTTGGGATTTGCACAAGCTTTTGGCTAAAAAAGGACTAAAAGCTTGTGAAAATTTGCACTAGTGGTTTTGATCACCAAATTCGGCATGAGTACACGAATCAGACGACATAAAAACGCGAAACGTCCAAAGATTAGCATATGGGGGTTTAACTTTGGACGGCAGCACTGGGACATAGCACATCACAGTTCATGACAATGACTCGCATGAATCGTGTCAGCCTTGTCACAACTGGATTCGGGAGATTTCTAGCACATGTTTCGTTGGGCGCACGCTGCGGATATTTGCTATCCGCCCACATAAAAACATCGTTATAATGCTGATCATCTGGGCACTCAGGTGTATCTAAACAATATTATGCACCGAGGAAACACTGATCGCTCACGAATTGCGTATGCAATTACGTAAAAGATGCCGGTTTCGGTCCAC